CTTACTGTTTCTTTAAATCTATATAGTTTTCTTTATATTCCTTTTTATTGCGGACCTGTGCATTATTTATTATGGTAACCCGTGACGTCATGGAAAAGTTTTGTTCTCATGATTGGCGCACGTTGAGACGCGCTACAGTGATTGGTTCGTCCCAGTTGTCATGCCACTCTGCGTGCAACAGAAGAAGGTGCAGGACAGAGAAAAAGGTGACAGGAGCTGAAGGCGGGATTGTGCTGTGAACACGAACGTGTTTCGGAAAGCATCTAGCTGGTGTACGAAAAGCTAGGAAAGCACTGAGTTCAAGGTGTTGCAGCCCACGGATGAGTTTATGTTATTTCTGTACCGTGGAGAAATCAAAGTGACTGTTGAACTTGCTTTGCACCAACTTTGTTGACATCCAGCATTGGACTGTGTCGTCAATGATCGAATTGATGCGACTCGGGAACTGATCGATAAGCGGTGAATGGTCTTTTGCAATGTAGGGCTCAAGGAACTTGACATGCATCAGATCGTGGAGCATAGAATCTCCGAAAGTAGCTGTAATTCTCTGAGAGTGGCCCGTGTTCTTTGGCAACGCATTTGCTCCTCACCACGCCAAATGAGTTAGCTCGAGATTCGGATACGATTATAATATTTTTTATGAAATTAGGAGATTCGCACCGGAGCCCAAATCCGGTTATCCACGTCCTCCATTGTGCGTAAAACGAAATATCTCGTGGTGGACATGTTGGCCAGCTCAAACTCTTACAAATCTCAGGTAAACAGGACACACCTGCATTTGGATTGAACCTAGAGAAATCACCGGAAAAACACCAAGATTAGAACATCCAAATACACACAGAATAAACTCACAGGTACACTATCGCTGAGTAGTAAACAACAGACCACATGTTGGTCTCACCTTTGAGCCTAGTGATCACGCCCTCAAACAGGGAGCACCTGAGAAAAAGAATATTTAAAAAATGTCATTGGTTCTTGCTAGGAATTTAAATTGACGGCTACAAGTAGCCATTGGTTGATTAGTGGCATGAGACCTACACATGTTGTGGGAATATGAGCCAGTGCGGGGAGGGGGGGGGTGCTCAAGGTGCAGTATAAGCCCGGGTTACAAACACGTACATTGCAAAACACCTTTCTTTACACCAGTTTTACCAACACTTTGTTGGGTCATTGCCAAGGTATGTGATTCAAAATGAGAGCCAGCTGTCAGCAGGATATTGTATACTGGCTAGTCACCTGTATTCTGGTACAATGGAAACAAGAGACTTCAATAGACTTGTTACTTCTCAATTCATAGTCATTTGAGAGCTTTGAACGATACTTGATGAGGGTCACAGTCCTACAGGGAGTGCCACTTCCCAGAGGGCCACTAGCACCCGTAGCTCTCAATGATGATACAAACAACATTTTGGGTTCTGGGGGATGTTTACCCACAGACTGCCGTTGAGGTCCACAGTGAAAGGGGGATACCAGGAGGTACCATGTTCAGCCTCTCCTTAGTGTTGCAAAGGCTTGCACTGGAGTACACTAGCACTCCTGTAAACACCATGGTTTGTAATTAATGAGGGGTAATCCACACCTAATATACCTCCGATGATACTAGATATGCACAAGCAACATTTCAACCTCGAACAAGCAGCGTCACTCAATTTACACAGGAGTATGCTGATAGTCGTAATTATGTCAGTGTTAGACCCTGTATTGCATGTTTCATTGCCCTTCAGAGCTAGTTTTACTCTTCTTAATACACTTAGATGTATTTCATTTGTTGTGTCACAGGTGATTGTTACTAGATAATAAACTATGAATATCTGCCAAATAATTACTTTTTTAATTAATTGTCATTGTTACAGTACTATTAAATAGTTCATTGTGTTATTATGACGACATCATTGTACTTGTTCATTTTTTACCAGAATTGTTCCCACCTAAATTTTAGCCAGTATTTTGCACACAAGATTGTGTTTAGATATACAAGTGTATTGTTTCAAAATATGTATTCCAACTTTTGCCTTTTGAGAAAATGGCATCCAGGCAGTGAGTATGATGTTAGTTTGAAACTGTTCTTGAATTGAATATGTATTTGGTCATGTATATTAAAGGTGCTAGGTGGTGATAATTACACTACGTTTTTATTGTACGAGTACAGCAAATTCAAAGCTCCGTAGTTATTAACGGCATTTCTTAAATCACGTATCATATTACAATATTATTGGGTTCTTGTCATAGATTATATGCAAAAGGTATTTTGTTGGTGCGAAGAACTTTATCAACCTACAGTAACACTCAAATATCACCAAGGTTTCAACAAGAAAGATACAAGCGTGAACCTTGCAAAGTGTTGGGCACTGTAAATCAGTTATCAGTTCTGGTAATAAATATAGCAGTAAGATTTAGTTATACAGTGTCAGTTGTTCTTAAGTACAGCAGCAAATGAAACAGCTTGGCGACTATACAATAGACATCAAAAATATAATTACACTGTCATAAGTACAATAACAAGTCTTGTTTAACAGATTACAAAATATAATTTATAAAACATGCTGCATCTCAATCCCAATATGTACAGAATGTTATGGTTATAATACAAGTAGCACCGCAATACACCTGTTTACACAAGATAACTGGCCAAGACAAGAGTCGTATTTGACAATCTTTACGTGCAACTACATTTACACATTATGTATGCACCATACTTCACGCTTAGCAACGGAAAGTCTAGGGGCCGGTTCCACTGAACCCTGCCTAGAGTTATTCCCAGCAACACCACGCCGGCCATACCCAGTACTCAGCCACGCTGCCTGTGTCAAATTGGCCCAACACTGTTTTTGAAAGTACTGAACTTACTTCCACTTGAATAGCAGAAACTGGCTCAGAGAACACTAGAGCGCACTACACCAATACATAGATACAGCTACTGTCTAGAAAAGCTATGGTGCTTCTATTCCACTGAGCAGGGCCACCTGACTTCAAGATCCAAATCGAAGTGTGCTGCTAACATGACTACACTGTAGTGGCTAAAAGAAAGGCTTACCCATTATCATTACAATGTCTAATACAGCTTCACCTCAGCTATGTGGGCACCTTGAATTCCAGTGCTACCCATAATATGAGGGGACCTTGTCAGGAGGTGGCACATCACATC